GGGCGTCCTTTCCCCAATCCTCCCCGCACTCACCGGCAGCGGGAAGCGGAGCAGCCCGGCCCCAGCCTGCTCTACTCCGCCAGCTCCCAGCTGTGGTAGGAAGCGGAGTGCAGCAGGTGAGTACGGGGGGCATCCTTTCCCCAACCTCCCCGCGAAGCGGAGCGCCATGGCTGGGAGGTGGTGGAGTGGAGCAGGCTGGGGCCACGTTGCTCCGCTTCCTGCCGCTGCTGGTGAGTGCCTGTCAGGGGGCGGGAGGTGTGGATAGGGGTCAGAGCAGTCAGGGGACAGGGAGCAGGGGGGGTTGGGTCCTGGGGGTGATTAGGGACAGGGGTCTCTGGAGGGGGCGGTCAGGGAAGAAGGGGGCCAAAGCAAGTTCACTACAACACGGTCTCACCTATAACGCAGTGAGATTTTTCATCTCCCGAGGACCACATTATATTGGGGTAGGGGTGTACTTAAGACATTTGCAAAGCATTTGACTTAGTACCATACAACATTCTGATTAAAAAAAATTAGCTCTATACAATATCTATAAAGCACATGTTAAAAAGATTAAGAATTGGGTAACAGCTCAAAAAAAAAAAGGGTATAGCTTGATGAGACTGAGAAAGGATGATGCTAAGGAAGTGGTTCAGGAGGTAATCAAAATCCAATAGCGTTTCCCCACACACTTTTTCAACCTGGGACTTGTCTACACAAAAATATGCATCTGACTAAATAATAGATCTGGTTGGAAGTTTTCTGATGAACATAATTTAGACAACACCAATTTGGTGTAGCAAAATGTTTCTCTGAATCTATTACAGAGTAACAAACCTTCTGCCAAAACACTATCAGCATTTCAGGATCCACAGCTCCAGCTAGGAAGCCCTTGAAGCCCTGACTAGAGTCAGGACTGAAAGGTCCCTGCATTGCAGCAGCAGCCCTGGAAACCACGCTGGAGCCGGGACTCTCTGAGCTGTTAGACTTCAGGGCAGGGAGCCTACCAGCCCTCTGAGGGAACCTATTCAGTGACAAGCAGCTATGAAATTGACAAGAGTGTCCATTTCATATTTTGTTTTAGGATCACCATATTTTGGTATTTCTAAGACAAAATTTTCAGGTATCTCCAGTTCACCATGACATTTTTGCAAATTTTCTTTCATTCTACATTGGAAAGAAAGATTCATAAATCCTGAAATCCCCTGCAAATTGAAATACCTGAATTTAAGCCAGTTCTATACATTAGTTTTATTTCACACCAGGTGCTATTTTGCAGCAGTCTATCTGTGGACACAAATTTGGATTATTAATCTTTGTAGGATTTTTGTTCTCTCTAAAATACCAGGAATATTTGTTTTAAAGGAAGGATGGTTCTATGCTTATGGCATTGGACTAGGACTCAGAAACAGAGTTCTTATCCAGAGTGTGCTGTAAACTGTGTCACTTTATCATTATCCCCACTTTACAGATAAATAGTGCTCTACTGATTGAATTTACTGTAAGAACGATCTGTTGTTGAGTTGGTGGCTATGGAGCAATTGTGACATTATGGTCAATTTGGTGAAGAATTTTACAATATGTTTGAGATGAGGTGGGAGGAAGGAACAAATCCAACAATATGTTAAGTGTAAGTACTGCAGTAGCAAGGATTATTGCAGCCAAAGCTGCAGTATGGTCTTGGGTGGGAAGGAAAGCTTTCTACCCCTTATATAGTGGTAACAGCCAAAAAGATAAACTTAGTGTGTGGGACTGCATTTGGCCCAGAGAGAAGAAATGCTGGAAAGTTGAACCATCATAAGTAGGATAAGCAGTGGCGGTGGGGGCTTAGTGATCTTATCAGCAGAAGAGTGCAGGCAGTGTCCCAGTGAACAGGACAGGGCACCATTAGATTAAAATACTCTTTACAGATCTAAATCAAGTCTCCCAATTTGACTGTGAGTCTCTTGATTTTTGGCACCACCTGTTGGACTCCTGAGCAGCTGCTTCATTCTTTCAATTAGGAAATCTGCGGACCTCAAGGAGAGGCACATTAGGCAGTCTCTCTATAATTGGCTTCTTCCAAGTAGGGTCTCTATGGATAGAGCACTGGAGGATTAGCCATATAAATACCAACATAGGAAGGCTCTACCAATAGGTGTCTAGATCACAGCCACCAAGCTGCTGCAGCTATACACACATGAAAGAAATGTGACATAGAAGAGCCAAACCAGGAGAATAAACATTTGATTGTGGAAGCTAGAGAACGAGAGAGAAAAAGTCATGCACATATACAGACCCTGAGGAGTGGGGAGGAGAGCCAGAAATCAGAGCCCATGTCAGGTGCTCAAGACTCTTGATCAGCAGCTCTTGAGAAACAGTGACTGTGGCTGGGGTGGCTTTCTCGAGCCAACTCTTCAGTGGCAGCGGCAGCAACAGATTCGTCTCCTACTGTACAGTCACATGCTGGAAGAGCAACCAGGGACCAAGAAAACATTGCTGTTGCTGGATAAAACAGCAGCATAGTGAAGAATGTGGTATAAAACTTACATAGAACCAGGCAGCTCAAGATAAAGGTCCTTCCCTTCACCACTCATTGTGGTCCTAAAGAAACGGTCTTCCAAGCAACTCTATTGCATAGCTTCCTCCAACCCCTGAAGAAAATAGGTAGGTTTTGAATTCTCCACCAAAATTAATTGATGGGGCTCTGCTACCCCTTGTTCTCACTCCCCAGCTGGCCTATAAAAAAAAGTAGCAGACAGGAATTTTGACTGACTTGTTAGTGAGTTAGGCTAGCAACTGGAACACTGTTCAGCTGCCTGTTGGTTTCTACCAGTGAAGTCTTCAGCTTGGAAGCCTGCCGCTTACATCCAGAAGCAGGGACAGGGGCAAGAGAAAACAGCAAAATCAGTTTAAAACCTACTTTAACCCCCCCCCCCCACGTGAGAGACTATTATTGTGACAGATATAACAAATAAGATTAAACACTTGAATTAAGTTTGGGGTTCCCTATATTAAAAATGCAATTGTGTATGTGTTATTGTGGAATTGTATTAAACGTCTCTCGGAAACTGACTAATGCAATCTCTGGAAAGGATCAGGAATCAAAGGACTTTTTAGGACAATATATGTTGAAGTGGATTTCCTAGGAAATACTGGGGTCAGGGGAATGCAATGATCTAGCTCTGAGTCCATCCTTTTGAAACTGCGACTTGAGGAAAAACCCATTGTCTATTGATTATCTTTTCCTGGAAAACTCCAGATCAAAGACCCCTGAACTATATAAAGAATGAACTAAAAACTTTTTTTTTTTTTTTTTTGTACAGAGAAGCCTGCTTAGGCAGTCCATCTTTAGTTGGGAATAACACAGTGAAGGCAGGAAACTGTTCAGCCTGGAAATACCCTGGTCAGAAGGGAGAGAGACACAGGTCTCCATCCAAGAAACTAAAAGCCTGAGAGTGGCTACTCTTGCTGGACCATTAAGGGGAAAATACAGGTGCAATTTGCCCCAAACTGAGACCCTCATAAAGGCCTGATTTAAAAAAATAATTGGGGAAGAGGTGTTAAAACAAGTTGGGTTTGGATGAAATGTTATTTTCAAGAAAACTGCTTTGATGGATCTAGTTATATTATTTCTATGGTGATGTACTTGTACCTGAAAATGTGCAGAATAGATGTGTAAAGGAAATTTAATTTACTCTTAGCTGCAAATTCCAGATTGTGTATGGACATTTTAAAATGTGAATATTGTACTTATATATATATATATGTATATGTATATGTATATATGTATTGTCCTTTTATGAATTTGCTTTTCAAATC